CCTGGAATTCTGGAGACACAGCTATAAAATGCCAAAGCAAAGAGAAAAAAGAATGTATCGACTGACTTTATTTCATATAGTAGCATGTTAAAACATACGGATTAGGAGGTTTGGAAAGAACATTGTGTAACACGAAATTTTTTTTTCCTTTAGCTATTTTTGCCGCCTTCTGCTGCTTGTGTAACATATTGCATGGATCTATGTACAGATTTTACTTGCACCCCTGCGGCTGACTTGACTTGATCATTATCTGCAAGATGAGACATCTGTACCGATTATTAAGTATAGCTGCAGGGTCTGAAATCATTTATTAAAATATAGATGAGATAAAGGAAAACGCCAGCAATTGCATCACCGTCTCTAGGAAGGATGGCTGAGTACTCAGTGCCATGAACTGGGGATCTACCACTCTTACCAAGAGGCTGGCAAGCACTTAGCAGGAGATGAAGTCCTTTTATCTATCCTGCCATGGAAACAGCAGCTATCGGTGACAGTTCCCCGTGCATGTGACCAACCCACGCCGAAAAATCGCCCAACCGACCTGAAACGCCTTTCTCGAGGCAATTGCACCACCTGCAGACAGCGCTTGGAGTAGCGGCGGAGCAGGGACGGAGTAGGGAGGGAGCAGCTCCTGCTCTGGCCGCGCTGGGCGTGCGAGGGGCAGCGCTGGAAGCAGCGGGCTGGCTCAGGGCTGCTCGTTCCCTCCTGGTCTCAGAAACCCTCCTGTCTCCATCTTAGCCGCCCGTTTCCACGTCTTCCCGGACAATCATAGAATCATAAATCACAGAATCACAGAATGTTAGGGGTTGGAAGGGACCTCTGTGGGTCATCTAGTCCAGCCCCCCTGCTGAAGCAGGGTCACCTACAGCAGCCTGCACAGGACCTTGTCCAGGCGGGTCTTGAATATCTCCAGAGAAGAAGACTCCACAGCCTCCCTGGGCAGCCTGTTCCAGTGCTCTGTCACCCTCAGAGGGAAGAAGTTCTTCCTCAATCATAGAATCATAGGTTGGAAAATACCTCTAAGAGCATCAAGTCCAACCGACACCCAACACCACCATGCCTGCTAAATCGTATCCCGAAGCGCCACATCTATACTTTTTTTCAGCAATGCCTCCCCCATCTTTTTGCTCTGTTCATCCAGCTCCTTCCCAGCCCTTTGGGCCTGCTCCCCGCTCCTCTCCATCCTGGGCACCCAGTTTCCGGCACCGTGTTCTTCCCAGCTGTGCCTCATACCTCCCAGCACGGCTGGAGGTGGGGGATCACAGGGTGTGAGGATGCAACTCCCCGCCCCCCATCTTCCACTTTGTAGGGTGCTTCTGAAGGTCCCAAAAGGGAGAAACCACCTTTTATCAGTTTAGCTACATAAAAACTGAGTATTGTTTGCTAAACCAATTAGTATCACATTGATGACTGATTAACAGCTGTAGGCTGGTGACTCATAATTAGATTAAATACCCTCAGCCCATCGGTGGGCCATGCCCACACTCAGGATAAAGTCTTTTTGGTTACAGTATGAAAAAGCAACTTTCTTCTCCCAGAGCCTGGAAGAGAAGGTCAAGCCTGGCTTTACCCACCTGACTCCCATATTCGCAGGCTGTCTTTGCTTCCAGTTTTTCTGCACCATTACTGCTCTCAGGAATGCAAATGCTAGCCTGTTTCTTTTTGAAAAGGTGTCCATCCCAAGCTTTACTGGGATCAGGAGCATACTTGTGCACGAGTATCTGAGGGGGATGTGATAAAGGGACCAAGTGAACCTGAGACAGATGTTTCTCTTTTTTTTAAGGAGACCAACCTTTGATGTTTTTTGATGTAGGGGAGTCAAACTGTGACCAAATCAATGTTATCTTCCCTGTACACCCCAGCTGTTGTCCTATTTGGTCTCGCCCTGGCCAGAGCAGGGCTGGCCTTAGCTCCCATCTTCTGTCTCCACGCCACGGATGTTTCTTCCTTCTTTCCTTTGGAAAAACTGAGCAGTGAGTGACTCTTCCTGGTTTTCGGTGGCTTCCAACAAGCATCCATGCTGTTAAATTTGAAGAAGACCTTACACACAGAAGTTCCAGAAGGAAAAAGGAAGATGTGGTCGGACTGCTTCTACCATGTCATTAACATTAAAATTAAAAAAGGAGGAGATAAAACAGTCACCAGCATCAGGACCTGTTGCGTGGGAAATCATTACCAGTTACCAGAAGCAAGGAATTCCTTGGAAACAACAACTTTAGAAGCCAGAAGGAAGTTGAGCAACGGTCAGTGGCGAAGGCCGGAGTTCTCATAACACAGCAACAGGCCAGAGACATGACCTGAGCAGTAATGTCACATCAAGACGCGTCTGAAACCCTCGGTGTGACAGCCCCTGGTTACCGGTCAGGCCCCCCGGGCTGCAGACAGCCCAACTGCACAATTACTAGGAATGCCAGCACAGGGTATTTTTCTTTTTATAGTGCTTAAAAGCCCTTAAAAAGGATGATCAACCCCACGAAGAGGGTAATTAATGTTTTCTCTACTTGACAAACAAGGAAAATGAGATATGGAAACTTTAACTGACATATGCAAAATACTCTACGTTATAATTAAGAGATCAGAGCTCCTACCTTCAGGGTCATGCTGCTGAATTACTTCATGTTTCTATATTATGTAAGCTGGATTATTTTTAAAGAAAGTTTAAAATGAGTCTTGACTCCTGAATTTTCCTTCTGGTTCTGCCACTGGCCTATTTAACAAAATGCAAAAGGGTCTGTAAATCAAGCCACACCTGCTTCACACTTAGGATTGCAGCCTTTAATCAGCTGATGACTATGAAGCTTCCTGAGTTCCTATGGTGAAAAATGTTTAACAGCAAATATCATTGTCATTATATATGCTTCTATACTTCTACAGAAGTACAAACATCAAGAATTGGGAAGTTTACTCAGGAGTGACAAAGCAGAAGGAAATGGGCAAGGGACTTTACAGAGTTTCTCACTCTATCAAGATCTGGTAAGTGTGGGAGATGTATTTCTGATTTTGCCTGGAAACAGAGTGCATCCTACTCCCTACACCTATTGCACTACAAGATTGGAAGCAACATCATTGAACATGCTGTTCTATGAGCAGCAAGAGTTTTGGTTACTACATGCACTGGGAAAGATTCATGCTGCTCTAAATTCAGTTACACCTCTGATCACATGATAATGTGGAATTTCTGTTCTCTTTTATTTCATATAAAGTGTGTAATATATGGACTCCTTTAACATATTTCTGTCTTCTGTAAGTCCATGACAAATATCTGCTCTTTTGTAATTTATTTTCTCATTTTTATCAGAAGAACAAAATGTATTTTGAGTCAATGTATCTCAGCTCTGAGATAAATTGCTGTCAGACGGTTGTAATTCTGAATGCATGATCCAAAGATCAACAACTTCTTGACAGACAGACAGAAGTTCTGTACTAGCCTGTTTTTTGATCTACCATGTAATTAATCAGGCTGATACAGGCTATCAGCACCTGTATGTATTATATTTTGATGTACAACCCATCTTTTTCATGGTCTAGAGGTCCAGCACGTTTGTGCATCCTGTGACCTGAGACCGTCTCCAGAAACTCCAGGCTCCAAGACCTTACGTTACTGTCAGCCTGCATAGGATCTGTGAAAAGAAAAGCATCCTTCAGGCAGACCTAGGAAGAGTCATGCATCATCAGAGGCAAGGTAAAACTTGCTATGATGTCTGACCAGGATAAGGCCAGCATGTATTTTTTTTGCACATCCGACATGCTGAGTCCCATTAGCAGACGCCGATACGAGTCCCAGGATTTTACAGCATTAGCAAATGATTGCTGTAGAAGTAAGCATTGGCCAACATCGGGCTCACGTATGCTTGTGAACTTTTGAACTAGGGCAGTATGATATTTCAGTATATCCACAGTCAAAGACACACAGAGTGACATGTCAGGAACTACATACTTGGGGTGATTATTTCTCATCAGTCAATCACCAAGACAAGGGTAAAGAGCCACTGTATCCTCCGAAGCGAACACTGTAACTGCAAGGTTTGTGGTGATGACTCTTACGTCCACAGACAGTCAGAGTGGGAAGCTCTGTGCTGATGATTATGACTCATGAGGAACTGAAAATTTTTTGCCATGAGTTGGCTTAATGATAATGTAAAAGTAAATATTCTGAAGACTGAGAGAGGCAACAGAAAGATTCTTGATCTCAGGTGAGAGTCTTTGACTGTGATCAGCATCTCAAGGAGGAATTCGAAGCCCTACAGACAAGGAATTCTTCGCAGAATAAAGCACAAAACATCTTATTGCCAGGTTTTCTGCCCTGTAGGTAATCTACAGTGAAACTGTAAGAACCTGAAGATGTCCCTGCTCGTGGCAGGGGGATTGGAACCAGATGATCTTTAAGATCCCTTCCAACCCAAACCATTCTATGATTCTAACCAAGGGCCTTCCCACACTTGTGGGCAGATGGACATTTCCTATGGAAAGGGTCTCTCAATGCAGTTGCTTTTCCCCTTGTCCTAGGACAAAACAAGTGAGCAGCTTTACGGTGGCACACCTATTGGTGGGACAGAAACTCCTGGTGCTGCATGGCCTGCCCTTGCCAAAAGTGTGGCTCTGCCTCATTTAGCAGGCCGTCAGCATCGTTCATCAGTACAGCATCACAGCAGGCCATCGTTCCTCAGCAACACCACCACCGAGCTACGAGGAGCAATTGAGTATCTTACCCTGAGGGCTCCGCTGTGGAGAAGCACGATCCCTATCCATGCAGGAGCAGGGACTGAGCCCCTCTCTCAGCCAGAACACGTGGTGCAGCCCTCTACCCGGGGAGCATGACTGTCCGTGGTTACACATGACTTAAAGGCAGAAGCTAGGGATGCCACAGGAAAATCCGGTGAAAATGAGACTATTCCTTCATGATACAAAACAAAACCTGCCAATAAGCAATAAAAAGTACAAAAGGGCTACAACAATCTCCCTGCAGAGAAGCTGAAATCGGCTGCGGGCTGGGCTGCAGCATGGCTGGCGAGCAGTCCCGTCCCACGCTGGTGGTACTGGACTGCACCGTGGCTGGAGAGCGGTCCCGTCCCACACTGGTGGTATTGGGCTGCACCGTGGCTGGAGAGCGGTCCCATCCCATGCTGGTGGTACTGGACTGCGCCGTGGCTGGCGAGCAGTCCCGTCCCACGCTGGTGGTACTGGGCAGGCTGCGGCACGGGCGCTCGCTGCACATTTGCTGTGGGCAGCACCGGAGGTTCCGTCCCAAGCAGCTGCGCGCATGTACGGCCACTTTGCTGCGACTTTGCATTCTCCAAAGAGAGCATGGTGTGCTGACACCAACTCCTCTGGGGTAGTCAGTCCAGTCTGAACCGAGCAACGATTTAAACCTTCTCTGAATCCAAACTTTCATCAGTCCAGTGACAGCGATTCATCCTGACACAGCTATCAGCCCCACAGCTGGCGCCGGTATCCTAGTATAAAAGAACCACCTAAACCGGTGGTAAAGGTGCTAAAATTTGTTTCAGAAATTCGGATAACCTTGTATCAGCAAAAGCATTTTTGCCTCCTTTTATGACTATCAGTTGCTTCCACTGGGACTGTTACCAGTGGGCTGGTAAAGCTCGATTTGCAAAGCATTCCTAACGGAATCAAGAGGATAACAGGGATTTCAAACATAGCCGATCTCAGCTGTCGCCCCCGTATCAGCCATCACAAAGTACCTGTTCTTAACACTGCAGCCATTACTGTTGGGTTAGTTATTATTTCAGCGAGAATATTGTAACTATTTAGACTTTACACTGCAGGCTATCATCCAAGCAACAAATATATCCCTACTAAACAGCTAGTAAATTAACGACACTATTAAAAAAGCTTATTACAAAAGATTATTGGGGATAAACAAAGAAGCACAGCGACTGAGTAGTGCATTTAATATTTTTCTTACTTGTCAATGCTTTACTCCCCCGGCACAGCAGTGGCCGCCGAGCCCCGCGCACCCCCTGGGCCCTGCCGCTGCACTGCCTTGTCGCTCGAGGGCAATGGAGGCTCCAGGGCAGGGGCTCACTGCAAAGTCTCACCTTCCCCAGAACTACTTTTTCTATGAGTCAGCCAGAACGGGCAAACAAATGGGGGCATCACCTTTAAATCCTTACATTGCGAAACGGGCTAAATGAGAAACTATGGGGAAACAGCCTTTGGAACACAGCTATCCCCTCCTTCTCTAGCTATGCTCTTCGTGTATAAAAAATAACCAAACCCTGTTCAGTTTGGCTTCCAGCCCTCAGCTGCACGTCCCCAGCCCTCCCCAGCATCTCCTGCGATGCTGAAGCATGCTAGCTGGGACACGGCTGCGTTTTGTCGGGAGGGAAGAGGCAAGCGATAGCCCACTGGTAAAGGCCTTCGCTGCTGCGATGCGACACGCAGCCGGCCAGGGACGGCTGTGCTGTCAGAGCCAGGCACCCGGCGTGAATCAGACGTCACTTTCTTCACAATTACCACGCACCTCCGTGACGCAGCTGCCAGCTTCTGACTTGGGCTGAGGCACAGCTGAGCGGTGGGGTGCCAGGGGGCTGTGGGGACGGGGCTGCGTCCTGACCCAAAACCCTGCGGCAGCTGCACGCAGAGCCTGGCGCTCTGCCTCAGCCCGCGGAACGCGAAACGCGAGGCTGCAGGTGCTCCTCCAGCTTCTTTCCTCTTGCTCTGCCACCATGTGCTGTGGGGGCTGCTTTCTTCCTTCCCTCCTTCCCTCCCTCCCTTCCTTCTTTCCTTTCGTCCTTCCTTCCTTCCTTCCCATGCTGGCCTGGGGGTCTCACCCTCACACTTTGCCAGTGCAAAAAACCTAGGAAACAGCAAAATTCTAGAGATTACAACCCCCAGTGAAAGACTGCTAGCAAGAAGACGAGGTATGGAGTGCATCAGGTTCTAAATAAATAAATAAATACATGAGTGAGGGAAGAAAAAGGATTAGTTTGGAGGTTTTTTAGCTTTTTGAGTGTCCTGCGGGACAGGAGCAGGGAGGCTGGGGAGATCTGGCGGGACACGCTGGCACCTCCACCCACAGCATGGCCCCCCATCCCTCCAGCAGCAGCTGGGCTGAAGCCAGAGAGCTGCCCCGCTGCCCTCCCTGAGCCAGACAAGTGCATGGTATTTATTTACTACTATGTTATTATAATCTTTTTATATTGCAATGAGGTCCCAGGAAAGCATGGGACTCTGGCAAAGACAAGGAAAGAAAAGATCATTGTTTATTTATGAAATAAGGCTTTTGATAACAATTAGAACAGTTCAGAAGCATGGGAAACACTGGACTTGCCATTTTTTCTGTGTTGATTTTCACATACTTTCTATTTTTCCAAATACTATACTTATTACTTTTCCCAAAGTATCATATTGGAAAGTAAGAACGGGAAAAGCACGTGGTTGTATCACTACTCTGTTGTGTGTATACAGAATCACAGAATGGTAGGGGTTGGAAGGGACCTCTGTGGGTCATCTAGTCCAAGCCCCCTGCCGAAGCAGGGTCACCTACCGCAGGCTGCACAGGAACTTGTTCCGGCAG